TTAGAGAATCTGTATGTCACCAGGAGACTTCTAAATAATTTTATAAATGACAGGAACTTGGTTGAAATCAGCTTGGGTTTTAACTGTTGTTTGATCTGCAGAATCTTAATGTATGTGACCACTATTGAATTCCTGGGAACATCAGAGTGAACCTGTAAACAGCATCTGATTTCATCCTTTACAAGTACTATCACAAATACCCTTAGCAATCCACTTCTAAACCCTTTTTGAGAAGCAATCAAAAATCAGTTTTTCATTGCTTTATTGTGTCCTTTCATACTGATCACAACTTTGTTGTGTACAGAAGAACATCTTTTGATAAGACAGCTCTTCTTTCAGGTTAGGATATGTGAATGAATGAAAGTCTAAATGTGGAAAGAGGGGAAAAAATACAAAAAAAGTTGGGGGTGGGGACTGTCTGTGGTGGCAGAAGCTTTTAGCTTTTCCTAGTAGAGGTGAAGCACATTTAATGATATTTAGGACGTTACCTTAATTTTTTGTCTTTATTTCTCTTCTTATATAATATCAGAACTTGCATTTGATTAGCTGAGTGATACATTTGTTTGTTTCTCAATGTGAAGTAACCTCATTTCAGTATTTAAGTGCATTTTTTCCAGCACTGGTTTGTTTTACATAAGAAGGGTATGAAATATATTAATACTTATCTTTTTCATTTTAATTTGTATTATAGGGAGTCCAATGCCATCTTGATCTACCAGAAAAGAATTTCAGTGACTGCCTGTGCATAGTTAAGAAAACTAATGTAACTGGTGTGATGTGTGATGGGTTTACTATATAATAGAGCTTTAAGGAGAAAAGTATCACAAGTTTAAAAATTAAAAGTATAAACATACTGTTTTTCACAGAAGCTAATTGCTTTATTCTACTACTGAAATTAGCTCCCGAAATACCAAATTCAAATAAGCACATAAAAGGTGATACTGTTTTTATAATATGTGAAAATGTGTAAAGTTTGTGAATAGTTAGTATTTTCTCCATACATGTATCAACACATGGGTGATTAAGATTCCTTAAAATACTACTTACCAGTACAAAATAACAGTGGATTAGATAGTATTATTAATATATTGTTTTCTGAATTTTTTAATAGAGCTCATACATTTCAGATGTAAAGCCATAAGATATTATTGTTAGAATAATTAATTAGGTTAATAACTGTCCTTTAGAAATATTTTTGTCATTTTTGAGTTTAAAAAATAAAAAGTCCGTTTTCAAAAATATGTCATCATTCTGGATTGAAGCAAACCAGAGGCTTTTCATCATCTCAAGAGAGAATGAAATGAGAATTAAGAGATAATTAAGTGGGAAACTGAACACTTGAAGCTGGTTTCCAGCATTAAGTGCATCTTTTGGTACTGTAAGAACTCTATTTAGGAAGATCTGAATTTCTGCAGTACATCTTCACTGGCTTTGAACTCTACTATCAAATTTTCCTGTCATACTTGTTCATTTCCCACCTCCTTATTGTAATTGCAAAATAAAGTTATATGTTAAAGTTCACCACAGGTTGTATAGCAAACACTTAGCTGAAATACTATTAGATATAGAAATAGTATTTAATACAGGTGATTTATTTTTTTTTTAAGTAGCAAAAAAAGTAGCACGATAATAGAAGTTACCATTTCTCTTGTGTGAATTATATTGTGAAATTTTTGGAAGTCATTAGCCATGGAATTTGCCTACTTCTAGTTAATTCCTCTTAGGGAAAAAAAAAAAGGACATCTGAATGTAGCAGACAGCAGATAATTTGAGAAGCTTCCCTTTCAGATTAAATTTGTGACTGGAGGGTAATGTGTAATTTAGTAATTAGATAAGAATTCCAGTAAACTCAGATTTTCTGACTCCTGGTCTATAATGCCAATAATGTATTTTTGCTTTCAAAACATAGACTTCATTCTGTGATGATGAGAACAAGTTAGTAAGTGTGAATTTAAAAAAAAAAAAAAAAAAAAAAAAAAAAATTTTACAGTTGTCTCTTACAATGTGTCCTTGAAAACAGGGAACATGATGAAGCAGCTCTTTTTTTTTTTTTGTGTCAGCAAGTGAATTGTTGCTTTCTTGTAATATTTTGATCTAAAACACCGACATCTGTGTCAATATAACTGTTAAACATGTATTCACTGTAGTTTGAGTTTCTCTTCTTTTTGAAAAACTGCAGTGCTGTGGCTTTTTTTTTGTTGGCTGTCTCATTAAACCATCCTTTCTGACTGGATTGAAGCATATATTGTGGTTTCCATAACTTAGTTGAGTACATGTTAAAAACCCTGCTTTCCAGATGGATGGGCTGACAGTGTGCTCACTGTAGATTTCCCTGTTATTAATTCTTGTTCTTTGGTTTCTGTTTGCTTTTCCTCCACAGCCTTGCCCCACCCTTGCATCAAGTAGTCTCCCTTTTCTGTCTGGGTAGTATGGCTGAATGTGAAAAAAGGATTTGAATAAGTAGGCCATATGGAGCTTCTCATTCTGCCCTAATTGAGAACTCTCTTCTGTTTGCACTACCAGCAGGGTACTTAATGTAGGTGCTGTAGAGTAAATGCAATCCTTTCATCATACCACATAGAATGGTTTGGGTTCAAAGAGACCATAAATATCATCTATTTCCAACCCCCTGCCCTGGGCAGGGACACCTCCCACCAGACCAGGTTGCTCAAAGCCCCGTCCAACCTGGCCTTGAACACTGCCAGGGAGGGGGCAGCCACAGCTTCTCTGGGCAACCTGTGCCAGTGTCTTACCACCCTCACAGGGAAGAATTTCTTTTGTTCACTCTTATTCACAAGGCAGAGTGCAGCTAGAGCCAGTTTGCTTCCTTTCAACCACCTTGTTGAAACAAACTGATTTCTTCACCACCACCACCTCTGTCCCTTGATGAACACTTTCAGATAAACTCTCATCTTTTGATGGTCTGAATCACAAGGCCTGTATTTTATTTTCTGACCTGTGATAAGAACTCTGCCTCCTTGGGGGTGGCATGCTTCCTCTTGTCTTCCCTCTCTCGTTCAAGGAAATTACTGTATTTGGGCTTTTTCTGAATCCCAGATAGACCCAAAGCCCCTCTTTAAGGCTGAGGAGGACACACAGTCATTAATGGAAGTCACCCGTGATTCTGAAACAGTAGTGGCTGCAGAGCTTTTGTATAATGACAGCTAAGTCAAGGGTCTTTCCTTCAGTTCCTCTGTGTATGGCTATCAAGCAGGAAAATCTTTTACTCCTTCAAGTATTCTGTGGTATTTTCCAGTTGTTTGACATTTTTTAATGCTTCCACTCATAGAAGATAACATGCCACAGAGCAATCTCATATTCCACCAGCCAGCATAAGAAAAGCATTGTAAAGCACTCCGGTAGAGGATACTTCCATCAGTGCCACAACTATGGTAGTCCTTCCAGACTATTGGTGTGGATGATGTCACTGAACACAAATGAGAGTTTTGAACTAGTCTTCATTGGCCATCTCTCTTCAGAGCCAAACTGGTAGTCTTTGAAACTACATTTATGTCAAATAACATCAGATACTTTAGTATGGACTTTACAGGTAAGGGCCATAGGATTTGATTTGCTTTTTTGCCACAGCATAATTCTCTAACTCTGTCCCTTTTTGAGGACTCTTCACAATACTCTGCCTAAACTGACAGCAGGTACTATATTGGTGGGTATTTTTAGAAGCAGTAACTGTATACCTCAGCAATCTCAACATTGATTCAGTGGTGCCTAGGAGGAAACAAGATCTATTGCCTTTCCATACCTGTTGAGTTCTTTGTATGATAGTAATAACAGCCTCCCATTTCAGATCTTAAAGACTCTCCCTCTTTCCATGATTGGATCATTAGCTTCTAGGAAGACCTATAAAAAAGTTGTTATATCACTGCAAGACTTTGAACCTATTTTTACTTCTGTAGTGATGATGGCTTTCCATTTGTGAACTAATACCAGTCTATGTTAAATTTTATTCTTTGGTTCACTTCCTAGCCAGGCTCTGCAAGTAAAAACAGTATCTGACACCTTTAGGACATATAACCTCATCTGTGTATGGGTGATACATGTGACACTTCTGCTCCTTGCCTCCAAATAAAGCTGCATTAAGTCTGCCTCAATTAAATGGGTTGTTATTTCTCAGGCTGTAAAGAGCATTTCATCAGTTCTGGCTTTGGTAGCAGGATAACTTCACCTTCTCTGTGTCTCTCTCTGTCCTCTGGGTTACTGACATTGGATGTGGCTTTTAAGGATCTGGAGATTTGCTGCAAATATATTACAGACCAGGAGGAACTGAAGCTTCACATTCTTATTTTAGAGCACTATCCCATTTGAAACTCATTATGGTCATGTGTGAAAGACCCGTGCATCTAAATGATAGAGTTACATAGTACATTAGTAAGATTGTATGAAGTGTCTTTTCTCTTTCAAAAGATAATCTCCAAAAGAACCTTACTGACATACAAAATCAAATTTATTTCTGAACCAAATTCACAGTGAGATTAGGTGAATTACATTCTTGCCTCTACACATCAGGTGTTACTTGAGTAATCTTATACTCTCAGGATTGATCAGAATTTTATCTTTTTTACTTCCCATACTGTTAAAAACTGCCACTTCTTTCTTAGTTGTGGCAGGTGCACCTGCCCAATGAAAACAGGGTTTCCTGGCTGCTGAGGCGCAGCAGCTCGGGGCTGCCTTTGCTCTCAGGGCCTCACGGTAGTTGGGGCCTTTGGCCAGTGGGAGCCGCTATTGACTGCAGGTCAGATTGGGCCTGGGCATCAATGGAGTCCCCTGGGAGCCATTTGGAGCTCATCCCCTGGAGCAGCAGCTGCAGTCAGGACTCTCCTCTTGGGTCAGGACACTGCCCAAGAAAACTCCTTGAGGGACCTTGGGTTGGGACGCTGCCATGGGCAGGTCCTCAAACTTGAGAGTCCTCACTTGTCAGGTGAAAGTGTTTTGGGTTGCCGTTAAACCATAGGTAGCAGGGCTTTGTAAAGCGTTTCGGGTTGACGTTAAACCCCAGGGAGTGGGGCTTTGTTCTGTGTTTCGGGTTGCCGTTAAACCCTAGAAAGTTGTTTTGTTCTCCTCTCACAGACATTTGAACATGTAATTTACGGAGAGCTAGTTACCTGTGTTAGTTTTTTTGGGGTTTTTTTTTTTTGGTGGTTGGTTGTTTATTTGAGAGCCTCTGTAACAGTTGTGTTTCTGAGGGTGTGTGTGGTTGAAGAGACAGATGTTGTATTTCACCACGTTTAACTTGTCCCTTGAGTCAGAGAAGAACAGGACCCCAGTGGTTTTGACATGGATGGGGCAGTTTTGTTATGAGGACCTCAGTAAGTTGACAAGCACCCCCACCATTACATCTGGACCAGGAACAGTGATAAAACTGACTCTTCCAGACTCAAAAATCTTAAGAACACTGGATTGTGGATGGCTGTCATTGGATGAGGACTTCTGTTTCTCTCCAGCATAAATGATAGGAAAGTGTAATAGACTCTTTTAAACTATCCTAGGTGAAACAGAATTTTGTCTTAGTTTACCTGGAAATCTGTTCCTTCCATGTCAACTGCAATTATTTTCGAATACCTACATCAGCTAAGTAAAGAGATAAGTGGAAGTCAACCCATTGTTCTACTCTTTATTTGCCCTGTGGTTTTACCAAATGCTTTTTGGGTTTCTGGCCTGGTCTCTTCCTGCCACCTCCCTTCCAAACATGTCAGAACTGCCTGTACCTTCACCAGTGTTTTGCCATCTCTGTAGCCCCCCAAACTGATGTGAACCTTAATAAAGCAGTGGTTTTTTAAGAAACCTAAGATTGCTCCCCTGGGTAGGTAGTGAAACAGTACTACTTCAAGTCATGTTAATTTAAAACTATGTATGGAAGTGCTTCTAAGAGCATGTTGTGTAAGAGCTGACCATCTGAAGCCTATCTTCCAGCAGCTGACCATCTGAAGCCTGTCTTCCAGCAGCTTGTCTCCTAGACCCTTTTTTAAATGTTTTTTGTACTCTTTCCTTTCCATCTCTGTCTTGCACTTCTATTTCTCCCTCTCCCACACACACAAATATCCACTGTAGTAACCCACCACTTGTCTCCTGCAATGGTTCTCTGGACAAGAGCGAGGTGAGCAGTCACAATTCTGGCCTTGTGCCAGCAGCGTTTGAATGGGGGTTGTCTACTTATTGCCGAACGCAGTGATTCACAGCAGGGTTCTGCCTTCCCTCTTGGTGGGCACACAAACCTGTACGTTTCCTCCCTGCCTGGCTTCCAGTTTCAACAACCAGTCATGAGACTCCATTCCCCAGTCAGATAAAATTGAAATTTGTCAATGGATTCAGAAGTCAGCTATAGAGATGGGAATCCATTTCAGAGATCTCATCAACCTTTTTTTCTTAAGAAATAATTTTGGAAAAGTTGGTGGCTTAAAAGCCACTGATGGTAGCATTGAAAAATACACATTTTCCTCTGTAATACAAAAATAGATTAAATAATCTTTATTATTGCAGATCTGATTAAATAGTTGGTAAATTATTAGTCTTTCTATATTGTCTTTAGTCAAATTTTTAAGAAGAAAGTTAGTGCTACAATATGTAATTCTTCCACATACCACTCAACAGTGGTACTGTAGTACTGTAAAAGCAGTCCATATGCAAACAGATTTCATTTTCAAGGACAACGGGTCTTTCAGGGTGGGATCTTTGTAGAATTTCAGTGTGGCTTAGCCATTACGTTCTGCTTTTGATTTGTAGAATGAAAACTTCTGGAATGTTTTCATTAAAACTTATGAAGAGTATTTTTTGCCTCTGAGGGTAAACATGGGATCTTAAAATAACTGGTACTACTGATGAGAATAACTTTTCAAAGTAATATAAAGTAACTTGTTTGTATATCACAAGAGCCAACAAGTTAAACAGGATTTTTGGGACATGTTGTACTTAGTATTGGAAATAGTTATTATAATTAGCTGTTGATGGGATTCCCTTTAAATGCATGGGAGACATCAAAATACAATTCTTAAGGGCTGTGGTGGGGGATATATTTTGGCACATAGGATGAAATATCAGCTTGGGCAGCTGAAATAAGTTTTTGTTAGATGTTTGTCACATTTTCAACTTTGCTGCCTGAAGGAGGTATGTTATTTTTTTCCCCTAGATAGAAATACATGGACTAGTTGAACTTTTAAAGTTTTCTGGATACTGGAAATGAACGACATGCTAAATTGGATGATGCATGGGATTTGTATATACAGCATTAAAATCTTGCATTTTTAACTGTTTATAGGACAATAGTTTCAGTGAAAAGTTAGAATTAATTTGAAGGG